CCCATTAACGTGCTCAGAATACTGAAGGAAGGACCGGAAAAACGGACCGAAAAGCTGCTCAGAACAACTCGCGACTCGCGAGTCAGTGTCGCGACTCGCGAGATGGTTGCGACTCGCGAGGATGTCGCGTCTCGCGAGTCCAACAGAGACGAAAAGGAGCTGTTCGCGAGAAGATGTCGCGACTCGCGAGTCGCTGTCGCGACTCGCGAGATTAGTCGCGACTCGCGAGTTAGATCGCGAGTTTCCCCAGAATTTACATATTTTTTGAAGACGCGCGACTCGCGAGATCTCGCAACTTGGCAAAACTGGAAGTCGCGACTCGCGACTTACGTCGCGACTCGCGACTTGGTCGGCGCAATTTTCGAGGACGGGATTTTAAGTTCAGATTTTCGACCTAGATATCATGAGACACGTTCCAGACTTCGTTTTTTCACTTTTTCTCTCAAGAAACTCATTCCTTTTCATGCTTTTACTCATTTGATTGGATTTTGGAGATTAAAAACTCTATTTTCCTTGCTTTGGATTGGATGTTTTTGGATTCAACATTGAAATATCGTTATTAATCGTAAGTTTTTCCTTCTCTATTGTGTGATTGATGATGATGGCTTGGGTTCTTATGAATTTTTATGTTGAATTCCATATGAGTAGCTAAATCCATACGCTAGGGATAGGGGATGATTGATTAGGTTCGATAATAATTGCTTGTTCTTGATTGTTCATGTCTATTCAAGTTGTGCTTATTCTAGGGTTGATAGATTGATCACATGTTTAACCTAACTAATCAACGTGTGGAACCGTGAGGGGAGACGTTGGTTGATATAGGCTTGTTTAGAGTAGACTTGTTCGTAACTGTATTGTCTATGCGTTGCGGGAACTGATAGTTAATCGTTTACATCCACTCTCTTGTTCGTAACTGTATTGAGAGTGAACCTCTGAACAAGAAACGATTCAGGTCCTTAAACCGAGCAATTGATTGCCGGTAGCTGTGGTAGAACCGGAAGCAATTATCCCCGATTCCCTAGCTCTTTAATCATTTGAGTAAATTCGTTTTCTGTTTAAGTTGCTTTTCATTTATTTTCAAGTCATTAGTTATAATCAAAACCAAATCCATTGAATAGAGTGTCTAGGATATTTTCTCTTTTCCGTGATCGAATAAACGTACGATTGAATTCGGCTAACCTTCCTTGCGATACGACCCGGGGAACGAATCTTTCGATTCTACTCCGGTAAAAATACTCACAACACCGGCGGTCCGGCCAGACCCTAGACCGACCGGTTTAAGTCATGATTTAATGTTTAAGGTTCTGGTTCATGTTTATGTCCAATTTTCAGTTAAATTTAAGGTCCAGTCCAGTTCAATAAATTCATGTCAGCCCAATTCCATGTTAAATCGGTTCCGATTATACCGATTAAGTCTAAATGTCCTGTCAAGTTCCAGTTGAGCATCTTAACATATTAAACAGCTATTTTTATCAGTCTGAGCATAGTATTTAGTAATTGTTTATATTATTTTTCAGTTTGATCAGGCTATTGTTATCAGCATTGCCTTTTCATTTCGACGGATAAGGTGGGGACTCAGACTGGGTATTACATTGATTATAATTACTCTACCATGTTTGAGGTATGTATTATCATGTCATGTATCCGCTTGGAATGGTCGCCGGTCCATTATGGGTTCTAGTGGCCCTAGTCTGCCACTAGAGTGTGCACATGGTGTCCAACATTTTTATGCTGGCAAATGAGGTAACGGTCATGTGATGATTATCAGGTTATGATTATGAGATACCGGTTTCATGTTCAGGTTATGTATATGCCAGGATCATGATATTGCAATTATTTTCACTGTTTACTTTAGTATGAGTTCCTACGGAGCACAGTGGACTTTAGTGCTCACGCCTCATGTTTATCTATGTTTTTCAGGTCATGGAGTCGGACCGGAGGCATGAGCTGGCGGGTGGTTCAGGATTTTGTTTATATGTTTGAATTTGGCATAGCAGTGCTGTTACTATCTCCCGTCGTGGAGTTTCAAATGTTTTGCCACGCTACGTTTTCCGCTATTTTGACTGTTTGCCAAACTTAGCCTGATCCGATTTCTAGTCGGGTTGTGATATTATGATAAACCGTTTTCCTTAAAAATTAAAATAACGGTTTCCAAGTAACGTTATTGTTACGGTAGCACTACGAATCATGATTTCGCAAACTAATCAATAATTTTTATTAAAAGGTTTTGCGAAAATTAAACTCTGATATTTATGACATAGCGGGGTGTTACAATTTAGTTCTCCAGATTTTACACATTTTAATTTATATTTCAAATTCTACATAGTATTTGAAACAGGAATCAAAATCGAAAATAAGTTCTAAACATTAACAAAGCCGAATATTTATGTAAAACAATAATCGGTAGTACAATATTTTAACTTGATTATTGACAAGAAATAAAATCGGATGAATATCTTGATAATCATTCATATTTTAAACACAAATATTTTCCAAAATATTTTGATAAAAATTTAAATTTTAGAAATGTATATTTTCCCAAATGATAATGTATGGTTTCTTTACAAACGATTTTGCAATAAAATTGGAGGTCATTCACAAAATTAAATTTATAGATATGATTTCCAAATGCTATGGAAATAAATAAGGACTCTCGACTATAACTTTATTTTCCAGACATTATGTACAATCTTTACAAATGGTATGTACAACATTTTAAATGGAATGTATAACTTACCATTTTTTTTATTTTCCATCAATCTCTTTCAATATATATAGATTTCTTCCTTAATTTCCCTTCTTTTTTTTTCCAATTAATTCCTTCTTCCTCGTCTCAATTTCTTTTATTGACAGGGTTTTAAAATTGTAATCAGAATTCAGAACTCAAAAGAGGATAAAAAAAACCCTAAAACTCTTCGAATTTCATCCATGGCGAAGAACAAAAACAAGAAGAAGAAAAACATCTCGACTGAGATAGTCGTAATTCTATATATATGAATTTGTGAAAATTTGGAGAATTTGTTTCAACGAAGGGCATCGACGGCTTTTGAGTTTACAGAGAATCGGCCTTTGGTCTCCAGAGAACTTCTGAGATTCTTCGATGGATTTTGGATTTGCAGAGAGAACGTTTGGGTTGTCGATTTGAGGGGACTTTTTATCCGATGAAGATTAGAGATTTAAATTTAATTTAGGGTTGATTGTTTATTTTTTAATGTAAATTACCATTTTATAAGATGAAAAGTCATCATTTCAGCTTAGGTGTTTATTTGGCCTGAGACACGTGTTCCACGTCAGTGCCACATTCGATTGAATGGCCAAAAAGGTTAACATTGGTCAGTCGAAGACCGGGTCAATTGTTTGTTTTGTAAAAGACTAAAATGTGGGGTATCGAAGTGCCAATGTCCCAAAGTCCTCGCACAAATAAAAAAAAGCCGATATTTCACAAAATGTTGTTTGCTCACTGGATTTTGAGCTTAAGACGGATTTGGGACCTTGGGGTTTGGCCCGAACTTATATCAACCTCAGCAAAACACCACAGTGGATTAATAATTTTAGTTATTGCATAAAAGGATGCATTACAAGGCAACTTACTAACAAATGTAGTTTAAATACATACAGATCTGTATGTTCTAAATGCAAAGAGAAGATAACTCTGTACACATTCAAAAAAAAAAAAAAAGAAGGTCCAAATTTAAAACCTTTAATCTAATAAACTAATCTTACAGCATCCAGCAGAGAATGACTGCCAGAAACTTACAAGAAACCTATAGATATGGAAACAAGAAAGAGGGCCTAAAGCTGCTTTCACCAGTGAAAGCAACACCATGACTCGATAATCAACACCGACCTTATCTTTTTCTTCTTCTTCTGTCTTTTGATATATACATGTTATTACCAGGCAGCATTGACGACTTTCAATCTCACATCACGATCACTTCAAACTCAAAGCCCCATTCTTGGGTTATTAGGTTGGAGGTAATATCAAATAGCCGGGCCAAATCTTTCGCAAACCAAGAGCCCAGCAAAGGCTGCCAAATCAAATAAAGAATTTTGTTGAAAGATAAAAACGAAAGTACAAAAAGAGAAGTATCAGTATTGAGGTTTATTTGTCCATTGCAATGGAGCTGGAAGAGTGATTGACAATTCTTCTGACATAGTGCTAATAATGGACTAGATCAAAATGGCTCAATTAAATTCTAGTGCTTCTTCTATTAGTAAAGTTTCTAGAAAAAAAA